ACAAATGAACACATGCTAAAAATATGCATTTTACCTTACAAATTATAGTACAACTCTCAAAACTATGCTACTTGTACGTTATACTTCTTCCTCTGATATATATGCATTTTAAGTGGGTATAACAAAGGTGCAAAGTGACCAGGGCTTTAAAAGGTCTTGGAAAAATTAGATGATCCTTTAACCCAGTTTTTCCATGAACTCTTATGACAACTTCGGGGGGAAAATATGTATTGTATTATTAAATGTAAAATGGGATGATACATTTTCCAAGTATTTTAGGAGCTTGTCGGAGATAAAGTTGCAGATTAAAATAGTTGTCAATGTTAATTTATACAGGAAGTACAAAACTAAACTGTAAGAATGGGTAGAATTTGAAAATACATATTGAAGTTTATTCTCTATTGAGGAAGATGGCACAGTTGCTTGAACAATGGATTTTGCCAGCGTCAACAAGACCTCGGCATTTCATCTGTTGGGCACAGGGTTGTTATGAGTTGGAACAGACTTGATGGCAGCCAACAGCAATATCCTATGAGCAATGTCCCAAGGCAGTGTGCTTTTATGACATGAAGCGGAGAAGACTTAGGGAGCATGATGGGAAATAATTGGATCACATGACTATTTTACGTGCAATGTGGAAGTACAGATGAAGTTAGAATTCAAATTTTAATAAGGAAGAATTGATTAGGCAGTGAAATGATACATGAACATGAGAAAGTGGGAGCAAATTCAAGCCACTTGGTTTGAGTTGCCTTGGAAGGAAAGGTCTGGGGTAAGGAAGGGGGGAAACTGTATTGTGACAGAGATGTTGTTATTCTAGTTTTCTTCAGTCTTAATTTGCATTCAGATTGATAGCCAGAGCAGCTTCTCCACTAACGTGACACAATCATCTTTGAGTTTTTAGAGATTTTAAAAGTTAATTTGGTAAAGGGAATTCCTGTGTGTTCAGTAGGGCTATACCTATGTGCTGTTACTTTGCATGTTTCTTTAGTTGAGACTGAGATAAGCAGGATA